AAATTGCCAATATAAACTGAGAGATGATGTTAATTTTTATCAACATTAATTTTTTTATTAATAATCAATAGATCTTAATGATTAATTAATTAATTGAGCGAGAAATGGGAATAATAATGATTTGAGATGTAGCTATCATATAAATGTATCATCTTAAAATTAACCTTTAAGTAATATTAATTAAATAATTCATTTATAAGTTAAATATCAAATTATTAGGTTGAAAGTTATGAATTAAAAAACAAGATCAAACTTTATTGAATTTCAACTTTATATTTTTTTGATTGGAGCTACTTTTTATTAAATTGCAAATAAATAATAACAAATTGTAACTCATTAATATTATTTCTATCAATAAGCTGTTTAAATTAAAGATTATTATACAAAGTAATTAAGACTTAAGGTTATGATTGATTATATAAAAAAGATCATCATTATTAATGGATCTAAATACAATCTAAAAAAAATGCCTAATTTTCTTATTTACAAGAAGTAATATTCTCTTTGGTTTTTGTTATTTTTATATATATTTAGCATAGCAATGTTTATACAGCATAAAATGTATAAATAATAATAATAAAGAAGTAAGAAAGACTATTATAAAACCTAAATAAATGTATAATGTTTAAATAAGTATAGATTAAATTATGATTGCAATAAAAATAAATGTAAATACATATCTATACATTAAATCATGATAATAAAACCTAAAAATATTTATGATTGTAATAATTTATGATAACTAAATATATTAATATTCAATATCAAGATATTTTTCTACAATAATTATCATTTCTTTTCACTTTACTTCCAATTTTCTATAGGAATATTAAACTAAATTATTAATGAAATGGCAGAAGGTTGCAATTGCTAAATCATAATTCTAATTTTTAAACCGCTATATATCTTCAATATTGACATTTAAATTATGGAAATTAAAAATTATTTTATATTTGATTACAACAAATAGCCTTAAACCAGCTCTCCTCAATAATTTATTTAAATTTATGATCTAATTTAAAATAGTAGATGTTGATTTGATTCTTTATTTTATGTGCATAATTAAAATAATTATAATATCTTCTTAGAAACCTATATTAAATATCACTATAAAATTTAATTATAGTTTTATTCTCTATATTCATTTAATTCTGTTTCAAGTTATTGAACCTTATTGTTTATATCTTCTCTTTCCTTTTCAGTCTTATCTATTTGATCTTACAATAATTATTCATTTTATTGAGATTATGCTAATTTCTTTTCTAACAATTCCAGATTCTCTCTATATGTTTACATTAATGAATCTTTTTAAGCTAGCATTTATTATGTTTATGAGTCTTTTTGTGTAATTTCAAATTTTAGCTCATGGATTATGTTATTTGAAAATAGGAGTTCTTGTTCGCAATGATTATATTTCTATTACAATTCTTAGATTAAATGGTTCCTATCCTCAATCACATTTTACCCCACTTACAATTGCTTTTCATAATCTTGAACTCTAAATTTCAATAGTGAAATGCCTTCATTTTTATCTTCAATCACGTATTGAAGTCTTTCAATCTCAGAACTCAATAGAGCAATTTTGTTTTCAAGTACTTCTTGCTATTTTAACTATGAGGATAAGAATCTGATTTAATCATCCTAATATTAGAACTATGATTTAAAAGTATTAAGCTCTGAATTTAGATAAGAAACTTCTTGCTTGTGATTTTTTTAGGTTTCTTCTAGTAGTTTTATCTTGCTCTCAGTTTCCAAGCTTGTGTTAACCCAAACTTATTATTCGCCTTCATATTTCTCCACCTACTGATCTAATTCATTTTAAAGTTCATTTACTCTTTAATTTAATTTATTATTTTCTTATGTCAATTAATCAATTAAGGTTTCCTAGCATAAATAGATTGTTTACATGTCCTTAACACTTTTTTTCTGTACACAACTTTACAGTCCTAGTCTCTATAACAGGTCTATACGTAGTAGTGGTGAGAGTGGTTTTAGGCCTTGATTAATAGGTTGTAACCTTTGCTAATCTACCACAAGAATCATGACGCTTGTCTTTGGGTGGGGAATTGACAACTCTAGTTGTTGCAATAGTCTGAGTTTGAAAAAATTTGGGAGACTGTGGTCTCATTATAAGAGAATTCGTTAAATTTATTAATATTTTTAATACAGTTAAATGAATTAAGATTAAATAATTGAATATGCGGCTCATAAGATTTATAAATTATCTATAACCTCACAATTGCAATT